GGCAAGCGCGTGCTATTCGGGGTTCTATAGATCTCCTAATGCACGCGCTAACACGGTCGACTTCTCACAACCAGACGTGTGTCAATAAGGCAGCAGGGAACATACATGGTACAAGGTCACGCACGCACGCCGCGACCAACGCGACTGCACGCACCGCACGCACCGACACACTCACACACACAACACACACACACACACAACACTCACACACACACCACACAGACACGCGCGCGCCGCGGCGCGCACATACACATACACAGCACGTAGCTCAAACCACATGCACGCACGCAGCTCAGCACAGCGAGCCGTCGGCGCTGCCACGTAACTTCTCATCTCATCTCAAACCCCGGCTTACCTGCTCATGCCTTGCCATCTTACCACGTGCAAGTATAGCGCTAGAGGAATTTTTTCTTGTAAAGCGTGTGTGCATGTTCGGGCACACATTTCCCTCACGAAACTCCGTGATTTCCCTGGCAGACCGTGAGAGAGAAGGCAACGCGAGGAGCAGCAAGTCGGGGAAGCGGATTCTCCATGCCGGAGCACGCGAAAACGCAGACGGAACATGATTAAAGAATAACAACAGTTGTTGTGTTCTCAAACAAGTTTTTCACGGAGTGTTTCGACTCGCGTCGCTCGTGCTGTATGAACGCGCAGACAGTTTGTCTCCGAGGGAGAAAGGCAAAAGCTCGCTGCACTGGCGATTCTCTCCGGATCGCGGACCGCTATCCGCAGAGTCACCGGTGTACGTATCGCGACACAGGAATACCTTCCCGCTTCTGAACGCTATCCTCGCTGCTTTACTTCCCGTCCGTTCGCTATTCTTCTATGAGGCTTCACTCTCTGCCTTTGAAACGGGGTCGAGAACATCTGTTAATCTCCGATTTTTGCTTCTTTTAACTGTTTCCCTTGTTGCCCTAATCGTATACTGATATATTTACACAAACGTCTGCAATGAAGGCAATCCGTTCGCATTTTATATTCCGTCTCTTTCCGTTTTTTACACTTATAGACAAGCTGATGCGTTCTCTCCATGCATCACTGAATATTACAGTGCCGAAACTTTCACGGCGTATGATCTGGCTCAGTCAGAGATACTGTGAAGGTGTGAGTACACTGTTAAAACATTCATGCATGCTATACTACGAGTTCATGCCACTAATTTTCAATAATGCATGCGAGCGAACAGCAGTGTGCATCTTCGAAGGAAAACAAACGGCATATCCGCGATGATGTTAAACGTTTCTCCCACTGCGGGATCAAGCGTACAGTATTTTAACCCAACCCGACGTTACAATAATTTAATAGTTATCAGGCGTGAATAATAATAGATCTATTGATTATTCACTCCTGATACATCTATGACGGACGTTATCCAACCAGCAAAGAATATAGGGATACATGATGCACACCACTCTGAAATAAAGGTGCAATCAAGAATGCAATCGTGCAAGCATACAATCTGAATGTCCGCGCTGGGTGTGGGTGAGAGTTATTTTTCGTGGTAACGCAGGCTCGTGAGTTGTCACCACAATCGTCCGTTTTCTGCACAAATTTCGTCGCGGCAATTATGTGAATTTTTTGCAAAACCTCACACCAAAATTGTCGCGCTACCTGCCAAATTGTCGCGGCGACAATTTGTGCAGGGAGCTGCCACCACACAATTGTCGCCAGCCATCGAAGCACATTATACATCCTTTCAAGTCGCCTGAGTGACATAATTTGGGGTTAAATGATCATTCTTGACATGCGCATAATATAACACGAACACATAGTGGTTGTGTAAGTATATGCACTTATAGTAGATTTTCTTCGTAATATACAAAGAATAATCATAATGGAAGTAATGCAGGAGACCGCCTCATAAGCAGAGCTTGACTGGGATGAACGCTTCAACAATAAGTGTTAATCCATCATTATTTCAAAATTTTCTTTAAAAAAGACTTGTGACAGACATAGTAACACCTCTTTTGAGAGCATTATTATCATGGCATCCTAATTAGTATTATTCTTATTATATTGATTGTTATTGTTATTACTGTTAGCCTACTATAATTGATTTCAATTTTATAGTAAAATGACTGGTTACATAACATGACTAAGTTAACGAACACTTTAGAAACAAGCAAGGGGTGGGGCGGGTGGGGGCGGGGAGGGGCTTGTCGTTGAATGTTCCTTTCCTCTGCCCGCGACGCACACGCAGACACACAACGCGCACGCGGTCGCGTGCACACGCACGACGGCCACACGCCCACACACACACACACACACACACCACACGCACTACACACACACACACACACACACAACACCACACACCCACCAACACCACAACCCCCGTCCACCACACACAACGCCACACAACGCCACCCACACACACACAACCAACACCACACTCGACACACATACACACACTACACCACGCACAACGCAACACACACATCAACACATAGAACAACCACACACCAGCACACGACACCACACACAGCAACACACACAACACCACACTACACACACACACACACGACACAACACACACCACACAACGCACACGCACACAAATAAAGGAGAAAAGTTTTTCATGATGTAAATAAGCCTTGATACAGCTATTCAACCTCTACATTATGACATCCAAATCGAACCGGTTCTTAAGGTAAAAGGCCGAGCCGAGGACTCAAGAAGAGTTAGTGTCAGACGCCGAGGCCGGCCCTGAGTCCCCCAACGCTGATTATTATCATCATCAATCATCATCATTCATACATCATTATCATCATCAATCATCATCATATCCATCATCATCCATATTTACACTTGTAACCCGTCATTATCTTCTGTAGGCTTGAAGACAGCAACTGACACAATTTGTGCAAGCTGCGCGACAATTTGTGTGCAGTTAGGTTCATTTTGCTGCTACAAATTGTCGCCAAGTGAGATTAAAAAATTGGAAAGCGGCAAGAGAGCAGCAAAGTTGTTACGCCGATGACAATTTAGTGGGCCAGTGCAAGCGACAATTGTGTGTGAGGTTTTGCAAAATTTTGCACAAATTGTCGCCAACGACAATTTGTGCAGGGACGACAATTTGTGGTGCAAGTGCAACACTCGTGTATTATCTGACCATTATAAAGACTAACAAACTATACCATCGGAAGTTAATGAAAACACTTTTTTTTTACTCCTGATATCATCTTGATATTTCGGTTGCGTACCTTTACCACCCACCTTCCCCCGTAACCAACAGTTACCACGCCTGTTGCTCCCTCCTACTACGCAACGGGAGTAGTACAGAGAGGCAGAGAGGTCTAATCGATAAAATGTTAAACGAATAAATTGCGCACCAACACTCTCGCTGGGAAAGTAATTAGCAATTTAACGCGCGCTGCATGCACGAATCCAACGACCCTGAAAACTGCTGCTGCCGCTGCTGCTCAAATCTGTGGTCAGAAGCGAAAGAGAAAACAGGCGCCAAAAGCAGACGAGCGCGTGGGGCGCTGACGTGTACGCCCGTACGCGCGCGAGCGAACGTGTGGCGTGCGTGTGTGCGCATGTATTCGTTTGTGCGCGAGTTTTGTGTTGGTGCGTTATTGTAACTCTCGATTGCGCAACGTAAAGACGGGTATCAGCATCACGTGCCCATCATGCGCGTACACACTAGTAGCGAAGTGTAATAAATCGAAGCCAGTTGCACAGCGAGCAGTCCCCCCCCACACACACACACAGACACAGACACAGACACGCACGCACGCACGCACGCACGCACGCACACACACACACACACACACACACATAGTAGAGATACAGCTGCATGGGAGCGTTGCATAACACCCGTATATCAGCATCTGCTGACTCGTTTATACCATCGGCTCGGCTAATAACGAGTTAATACGCGGCGGCAGCAGTTAGGTGCTCACCAATCAGCCGACTCTGCCGTAACTCGTAACATTTTAATAGAGCCGATTCCCCCATTAACGCTCGGCCATATTTATTTCATAGCTCGTCGGCCAATCACAGATTGGGCGTGTGCGCTGCGCGAACGCGGGTGAACAGCCGTCGGCAGATCCGGCCGACGTTCCCTGCGTGTCGTTACAGTTCGCATGCGGGAATGTATAGTTACGATGACACCGAATGCAACCGAGCTAGTATATATACGCATACATATATCGCCGAGTATTTACGGCACCCGTATAAATCAAACGTATTTTATTACAGTGCGTCACGACCATTGTTGCCAGTTGAAATTGGATACCGTTGAAATTGCATTCTGCGTAGATGGGCAAGAGAGCGCTGTCTCTCTCCAGATCTCTGACTGTCTTGTCCATCTCTCTACTTCATGCCTCCTTCTCTGTCCGTCCGTCTGTACGTCTATCTACCTCCCATCCCTGCTCCTTTCAACCCTCGCTCGCTCTCCCTATCCCTCTCTGTTATTTCCTATATCCTTGGCGAGCTGGCTTCGATCACGAATCCCATTTGGCGAAATCCACACAGTCACTGTTTGCGCTCTGGCGCACGCTAGCTGCCCCACCACACGCATCAAAGCTAACCTCCTTTTCTTCGTCTCTCGTGAATGCTGGAGCTGCGTGTCCTCCGTGTTAGCAGCGGCGGGGAGGTTGAGCGAGAACACCTCCTACAGGGATTCAAGCGGTGTGAACTAATCAGCCGCTATATACGGCCGCGGATCAGTCGGATTTTTTTCTTGCAATTAATTTGGCCACGCTGGGACCGCTAAACGATGTCGTTGCCATGGCGATATAACACCAACTTGGTAAAATGGACGGTTTACGAAAAAAGAGTAATTGTCCGTGTGGGCCGCCACCCATACGTACGACATCAATAAATTGGTAATTGTGTCTACGTGCGCGCGTGCCACTGTGTGTGTGTGTGTGTGTGTGTGTGTGTGTGTGTGTGTGTGTGTGTGTAAGAGAGAGAGAGAGAAATAATGAACGAGGTAGATCATACAAAAGGCTAAGGCAGCAAGAGAAGCAAGCATTTTGGCTTCACTGTTGTACCTTGCTGGTTGAGAGTGTCAAGGGCAAGCAACATCGCATTGCAGAAGATCTCAGCATCATCGCGGCTGGTGAAGTTCAGTCCATACACCTGTCTGTTGTCACGCCACTGATGGAATGTTGGCGTGGCCTGGTTGTACTTCAAGCCTTGCAGTATTGCACAGTTGATCACAACCTGAATGAAACAGGCAAATCTGGTCACCGTATTCAAATGTCTCAGGTTTGGTACTAGAAGATGGCTGCCTCTATACCTGGCTATGACAATCAAACAATCAGTGTATATATTATATACTGATACAATCTCTTAAATTAAATAATAATAAACGAGATTTTTCAACAGTGTTAAACACGAAGTCATACATCAATTGAAATTGAGCATGCATTCATTAATTATTGGAAAATGTCTTTGTCAAGTTTGCAATTACTATTACTTTAGTCATTTGCATTTAATGGTTTATAATAGCATAGTCAATGCTATTCAATAATTATTAATTAGCTCTCTTTGTAGATAACAAATTAGATATCCTTATAATAGTGTGCTACACAATAGAGAATTATTCTCGACACTTTCAAAGCAATCAATGCAATATTTGTAAAAGATAGTTAAGTGGATTTTATTATATTATATCATCCTGTGCACTTTAAAGAAGTGCAAAAATATGTGGAATCTATATTGACGAACTATGCACATTTTTCTTTAGTCAAACAAGCACCGAATTTGCTTCGTTGTCACGGTTAGTAAAATAGAGATTTTTTGCTTTAGATATAGGGACAGGACACAAGGCTCCACCGTAGAGTCTGAATCGAATAGAGTATAAACTACATTAAATATTGACGACTATGCAAACCAAACGAAGAAATGCGTTGTAGAAATCCAGCGAAAAAACCAGTTGGTGCACAGTGAGGGGAAATCACCACCAAGGACACGCTGGTTGTCCATGTAACTAATGGGTGGGCGACGCACAATGCTGCCCGGCAGGTTAGCGAGATGGAAAATTAAAGGTGCGCGGCTGCAATGTCGCTCGTTACGGTTTGCGCGGCGACGTTATTACAGGTAAGTGACGCTGCTGGCGCACATCTACAGTCAGACACTCACATCCAACGAAGTGACTTTTTGTCGACTTTTTGTCCAACGAAGCATCCAACGAAGCTGCGTTTACACTATCGATTTTTGTCAGCAAATCGTACCCGAAGTGCATTCCAACTTGCCCCCGACTTGACCCAAGTGCATTCCAACTAATCGGCTGAAATTCGATTGTGTTGGAGTCGGAGTCGGAGTCAAGTCGCCGAGTTGGAGAAATAGAACGTGTTCTATTTTGCAGGACTCGGACGATTTGCTGACAAAAATCGATAGTGTAAACGCAGCATAATTTATAATTATGAACCGACCGCGTACTCTGGCCTGTCAGCGTGCGTGGACGGTGGCACAGTATATCATAACTGTCAGCATGATTAATTACAGAACACCTGCGAATGCAGCAGGCTATGTGAATTTATAGGCACTTGCAGCGATTTGAATCAAGCAGCAGCAGTGCGCGCTGCATCGGTGCTATTATAAATGCATCACGTCTGCAGAGTACAAGCACTAGAGCACTTTTAGCCCCATTTAGTTTAATGTAGGCGTAACATATGATATAATATAGGTCAACAAACAAGCAAAAACAATGAGGACAGTTGATAGAGCAACCGAAAAGGGAGAGGTGTAATGTGCATAGCCAATGATCACACACAGCGATATTTTATCACATGATAAATTAAATTAAGTGAATAAGCACTTTTGCAATGAACAAATTAACCGCCACGATTACTTCTAAGATCGAACAAGAACGTAGAATGTCATCAAGAGGACACGAAAACGAGCAAAACGTGCAAGCGCAGCACATGCTGACGATGCATCCTCACCTCATGGTCCTGCAGCTTTCTGCCGACGACCCTAAACGTGTGATTGGATGGGTGATGGTAGACATGCACCTTGGACAGACCCTGCGATGTGCCGCTCGGCGCCCACTTCTTACCCACGTCATCGTAGATCATCACCGACGCCCGCGCCGATGCTATACTCTGCTCGCTGCAAGCAAGTAACATGCAGTAGATGTAAACGAGAGTCAACAACAGATGAATATGCTATACTCTGCTCGCTGCAAGCAAGTAACATGCAGTAGATGTAAACGAGAGTCAACAACAGATGAATGTGTTATACTCTGCCCGCTGCAAGCAAGTAATATTCAGTAGATGTAAAGGAAAAGTCAAAAACAGATCAATGTGTTATACTCTGGAAACAGGTAACAGGTGTAAATAAAAGTTACATATGTACAGGTAATTAGAGATGCTATGTTCTGCTCGATCGAAACAGGTAACAGGTGTGAACGAATGCCATATACAGTGGTGCTACACTCTGCTGGCTGGAAACAGCCTACAGGTAACAGGTATAAATGAAAGCCATATACAGATGCTATACTGCGCTTCTTGGAAACAGGTAACAGGTGTAAACCAAAGTCATATAGGTAAATACAGGTGACAATGACATCATTGTAAAGTGCAAGGCAAGCACGTGGAAGTGAAAGACATATGACCAATTCCCGCGCACCTGTATATAAGAAAATATTGCAATGATTGCGAACTGGTATACCAACAACAAGCTAACAGATCGGATAACTTATGGTAAACACGGAAATGCATGTACTGTTTATCTAAGTTTAAAATACGCACACAATAAAACGAAGATATAGCTAGCTAAGCTAGGGATATGAAAATGCTACCACGAAATCAAATCATGTCAAATCGAACGTGAGTCACAGTTTTCCATAGGAGGCCAAAAAATGCTTCTAAATTCATTATAACCATTCATCCGGGCAAGTTATTGCCTGTTGAACAAATCACACCTGTACACGTGAGTCAGGTATTTACCTGACCTGCATCCGTATTCATGTTCATTATAGAGGTTATACGGCGGAGCGTTTCCGGTGCTTTGTAAACTACATTTACATTCATCCGGGGCTGCGCAGAATAAATTTATATTCATCTACACCGTGCAAAGGCTACGTATGTATACATCGTTACCTGCACAGACGGACACATCATTACCCTCACACAGGCTACACACAAGTATTCATCATTACGTGTACGTAACATACTCTCACTGTCACAGACCTGACGCGAACCCATCAAGTATCACGCAAATTAGCTTACATAGTTTTACTAACCGAGTGCTTTTCTGCCATTGTGAATAATAGTGTAACCTTTATAGATTTTTTCCTGCTAGTATTTCGACATGATTAGCCCAATTTTCACTCACGGCTGCGGATGCCATGACAGCCGCTGTGCCGAGATAAAAGAAATCAAGGTGTTTTATGCCACAAAATTACTACGAGACTTATTTTCATCTACATGAACGTAGAAAAATAACTATTGCTCCCAACCTGGCTAGATTCTTTTTAGGTATATAATAACTCCGTAGATAGATTACTGTACCAGAAGTACATAAATGATAGAACTATGAATCTCTGATTCAGATCTAATTAGAACCTCTAATTAATATACATCTGCTATTACGGAAAGATCTAGTCTCTATCCTGACCATCAGACGAGAATTATTATCTCGATATTGTCTCGCTATTCCCTCACCTAATTCCACCCTATCTCCCTCCGTAACACGTTCACTCGATCGCAACCACTCTTCACTTTGTGTGCGCCTCCCTCCCCGTGTTACCTTTCTCATAATCACCCGGGCCTAATCAATCGCCGCATGAGTAATGCCGCCTGCCTTGGACGCTGCATGTACAGGTAACGACAATGCCGTATAGCTGTCGCCTGAGAACAGGCAGGCGCAGTATGTAATTTTTATGAGCGCCCTATCAATGAGTCATCAAAGCGAGGCTACCATGCACACACTCGCGCTACAGCACACGCACGCAACACAGCAAGTCACTGACCCGCGGAGAGATCTCTTATTAAATGCCGGCGATTAATCTGGCGGAGAAACCCGTTTACGAAATATTGCGTGCACCAAGTTGACGTTGCGCGCTGCCTCAAGTTGATATTGTATTGAATATTACTATATAGGTGTTTAATACACTATCGATAGGAGGTCAGAAATGGTGATGGAACGCGATGGGATGGAGTACCGGTACGAAATTTTATCGAGTCGAAAATCAGGACGTGTTCGAGGTTGGGTAATGATGCAACAAAAGACTGCTGTTCAACTGCTACACAACTCCCCAGTGTTTATCGCCCTGGTATGGGCAAATATTTACCTTCAGTGAAATGTGGATATTTCGTGTCGCACTTTAATGGAGGACATAATACTTAATACTGGAGGACATATACTGCTTACTCACATTACACGAGTAGCCACTCTGCGCTACCTCGCCTTCTAAGCGCGCGTGTTCAACTGCCAAACAAAGATGTACGTCTAGAAATATTATCCTCTTATGAAGCCATATTTCTAAAAAAATAAGCACTTTAAAAGACACTTAGGTCTGCACATCGCGCACGCACACAAAAACGTATACACAACTCGCACGCACGCACAGACGCATGCACGCAAGCTATCACGCGCGCACAACATTTATCGAGAATGCGTGCTTGCTTGTCCTTCACACAGTATAGTATCTCGCAATTATTTTACTCTCTTATCGTACAACCGATGAGGAAACAAAGTAAAATTACCCGACACGTTTTAATGCATTCATTCGAGTGGTGTCGTAGTGTAATACATTGCCAATTTTCGTCCTCTAATGACTTACTTGCCAGTGTTAAACTTGTGCCTAAAACTGTTTTACGTGACAAGATATTTTAACAAATCTTAGCACGCGTTCACAACATGCAGTTCACTACTGCCATCGGTACGCACAGTTAAATTAAGAGACTCGTCGCTAGTAGATCAGCAGTCTCGGCTAAAGACATCCTTGTGAGATTTCCTCCAGCTATATGAGACTAGGTGACAGACAACAGGTGGAACAGCATAACCTACTTCATGCTGAACTCAAAGGAAACTGTCGCTATATATCAATTTGTGTGCCACCCTTTAACCATGTTGAACGTTGATTAACCCACGTGAGAAATAAACTTAAGCCTGTCCATTGACCTTAGTGTGTTGATCTGATCGGTAAGCGTAGAGCCAACGAGAGGTCATGATGATTCTTTCCAACAGAAAGACTTCCCCCGGGGCGAATCGATGGGAAGAATGAAATAAGATGGGACATACACGATCCACGTGCACTCGCCGATGTGCGAGAGTTCTCATGAAAACTTTACCAAAGTACGTTCTTTGACATCAGCACTAGCAGTCTAGCACTGCCTATGGTGGATGGTTCCCCGGGGTGTGCATTGCTGTAACATGCTGCTGCTTCAGACGAGCAGGGGAGGGGGCTGGTTGGAGAAGGCAAGCTGCGGCTCTATTCGGGGTTGCTATAAGTCTCCTAATGCCAGCGCTAACACCTCGACTTCTCAACAACCAGACCGTGTGTCAATAAGCAGCAGGGAACATACATGGTTACACGCACGCACGCACGCCGCGACCAACGCGACTGCACGCACCGCACGCACCGACACACTCACACACACAACACACACACACACACAACACTCACACACACACCACACAGACACGCGCGCGCCGCGGCGCGCACATACACATACACAGCACGTAGCTCATACCACATGCACGCACGCAGCTCAGCACAGCGAGCCGTCGCGCTTGCCACGTAACTTCTCATCTCATCTGCAACCCCCTTACCATGCTCATTGCCTTGCCATCTACACGTGCAGTTAGGCCGCTAGAGGAATTTTTTCTTTAAAGCGTGTGTGCATGTTCGGCACACATTTCCCTGCACGAAACTGCCGTATTTCCCTGCCAGACCGTGAGGAGAAGGCAAGCGCGAGGAGCAGCAGTCGGGGAACGGATTCGTCCATGCCGGAGCACGCGAAACCAGACGGAACATGATTAAAGAATACAACAGTTTGTTGTGTTCTCAAACAGTTTTTCACGCGTCGTGTTCGCACTCGCTCGCTCGTGGCTGTATGAACGCGCAGACATTTGTCTCCGAGGGAGAAAGGCAAAACGCTGCGCTGGCACTGCGCGATTCTCCTCCGGATCGCGGACCGCTATCCCGCAGAGTCACGCGGTGTACGTATGCCGACACAGGAATACCCTTCGCCGCTTCTGACAGCTATCCTGCCTGCTTTACTTCCCGTCCGTTCGCTATTCTTCTACTGAGGCTTCACTTCTCTGCCTCTTAGTTTTGTGTTGTTGACACGAACATCTGTTAATTCGATTTTTGTCTTCTTTTAGCACTTGTTTCGCCTTGTTGCCTAAATCGTATACTGATATATTTACACAAACGTCTGCAATGACAGGCAATCCGTTCGCATTTATATCCGTCTCTTTCCGTTTTTTACACTTAAGACAAGCTGATGCGTTCTCTTCCATGCATCACTGAATATTACAGTGCGAAACTTCACGGCGTATGATCTGGCTCAGTCAGAGATACTGTGAAGGTGTGAGTACACTGTTAAAACATTCATGCATGCTATACTACGAGTTCATGCCACTAATTTTCAATAATGCATGCGAGCGAACAGCAGTGTGCATCTTCGAAGGAAAACAAACGGCATATCCGCGATGATGTTAAACGTTTCTCCCACTGCGGGATCAAGCGTACAGTATTTTAACCCAACCCGACGTTACAATAATTTAATAGTTATCAGGCGTGAATAATAATAGATCTATTGATTATTCACTCCTGATACATCTATGACGGACGTTATCCAACCAGCAAAGAATATAGGGATACATGATGCACACCACTCTGAAATAAAGGTGCAATCAAGAATGCAATCGTGCAAGCATACAATCTGAATGTCCGCGCTGGGTGTGGGTGAGAGTTATTTTTCGTGGTAACGCAGGCTCGTGAGTTGTCACCACAATCGTCCGTTTTCTGCACAAATTTCGTCGCGGCAATTATGTGAATTTTTTGCAAAACCTCACACCAAAATTGTCGCGCTACCTGCCAAATTGTCGCGGCGACAATTTGTGCAGGGAGCTGCCACCACACAATTGTCGCCAGC